CAGGAAAGGAATGAACAAGTGATGAGAAGTGGCCAGAGCCGGGAGACAGCCCTTGAAGAGGCCCAGGCCGAGCCCCCAGCAACCATGTGTTGGCAGGTGGGCTGAGACCCTTGCCTAGACTCAGTGACAGCTGAGGTGTGACTCAGTCACACCCAGTCATGCACAGGGGTTACTCCTGGCTCTGCACTCAGGAATTACTCCCGGAGGTACTTGGGGGACCATATAGGGATGCTGGGAATCGGAACTGGGTCGGCCACATGCAAGGCAAACACTCTCCCCACTGTGCTATCACTCCAACACCCCATCATTTTTCAGAGCACCTGATCAAGGGTGGATGAGAATTCAGCACTGAATGGACACAGGAGTGTGTGCCTAAGAACGCTGCCGGTGACTGGCTGCTGTTTCACTCCAAAGACACTTAGCGAAGGTGCTTGCTTAGAAGCACAGTGAGTTATTATCAACGTCTTTTTGGTCAGATCAGTTAATGATTCAGATCTAATTAATTAACCCGACAATGGTTTACTTTTAAATGTGAACCAGCTAGATCAGATGTGTGCAGACAGACGTGACCGAAACACAAATTTTCTAGGTAATTTCCTTAAATCTTTCCTTCGGCAACTTGGCTTTTCTTTCCTCTTCTGCTTTTGCTCTACACAATGGAGTACTATGCAGCTGTTAGAAAAGATGAAGTCATGAAATTTACATACAAGTGGTACTACATGGAAAGTATCATGCTAAGCGAAATGAGTCAGAAAGAGAGGGATAAACATAAAAAGATTACATTCATCTGGGGAACATAAAGTAACAAAATAGAAGATTAATACCCAAGAATAGCTGAGATTAGTACCAGGAGGTTTACTCCATGGCTTGGAAGCCAGCCACACATGCTAGGGAAAAGGGCAACTCAGAAAGGGAAGGGAGCACCAAATAGATGGTGTTGGAAGGATACTCCCAGGATGGGAGAAGCAGGCCAAAAGTAGACTATAGACCAAACATGATTGCCACTCAGTGCCTCTTTTGTGGACCACAATGCCCAAAAGGAGAGAGAGGACAAAAGGGAATGCCCTGCCACAGAGGCAGGGTGGGTTGGGGGGGATGTGGGGGGTGGGAGGGATACTGGGATCCGTGGTGGTGAAAAATGGGCACTGGTGGAGGGATGGGTATTTATTTGATCATTGTATAATTCAAACCCAAGCACAAAAATTTGTAAGTCTACAACTGTACCTCATGGTGTTTCACCAATAAAAATTAAAAAAAAAACAACCTCAGTGTGTGGCTGGAGAGACAGTAGAGCAGGTAAAGCACTGGTCGTGCACAGGCTGGCCCGGGTTTGAGCCCCGGAACCCCAGGTGGTCCCTTGTCCTGCAAAGGGGATCCCTGAAAGAAAAGAGCCAGGAGTATCTGCTGGACACTGCTGGCTGTGGCCCCCAAACCAAAAATTAAAAAAATTAAGTGTGACTATGTCTCCAAAAGACATGGAAAGATCCAGTGAGTAAGGTTTCTTTGCAGAGAGACAGACTCCCTCTCACCCGTCCTTACAGTTTCCGGGCACTCTACCACAAGGACACTCTTCCTTTCTACACTAGCAGCAATCAGTAAGATGAAGCGTACGACAAGCTGCCTCTAACACAAGGAGCTCCTGAAAACTGATTTCACTGCAGTTTAACAAATGACCATCTACTCACATGCATCACACACAAAGCACCTAATTTTTTCTCCAGAAAGTGCACAAGTCATATACCATTACATGAAAACCTTTATAATAACAATTACTGATTCTAACTCAAAACTAATCACTTTCCACAAGCATAATCTATACCTGGAAACATTATCCTGTTGGAACTGGAGTGATAGCACAACGGGTAGGGCGTTTGCCTTGCATGCAGCTGACCCGGGTTTCATTCCCAGCATCTCAAATGGTCCCCTGAGCACCGCCAGGAGTAATTCCTGAGTGCAGAGTCATGAGGAACCCCTTGCATCGCTGGGTGCGACCCAAAAAGCAAAAACAAAACAAAAGAGACTAAAAACATTATCCTATTGATTACTACAACAACTCATGTATGTCACTTAGCTAAGACTATTTTCTACTTATGGTCAGACTCCTGCCCGCTGGTTGAAGATCCTTTACAATTCTATTTCTGAGATTTACTCAAACACGGCAGCACCCGGGATCCACTATCGTCGAGAGCTACAACGGTGCTATTTCCTTGCTTAGGTTTCTCTCCAGTGCGAGCTGGCCCTAATTTAGTAAAAATGATGAATGGGTTTCAGTGCTGAGAGGAGTTGGTTCAAAGCACGAAAATAGTTCATTGTGTAGGCAAGCTGATTTTAATCATGACTGTCTGGAGCAGAACAGAAAGTGCCAATTTAAACTGAAACGAGCAATACTAATTAGTTTCCATTACCAAAAAATAATAAAGAACTACATCACGGTTTTCCTCTGTCTCCTTAAATGTAGTTATAAAATTGTACTTACAGTTTTTCTTCAAACTTAGCAATACTGGGAGTTGTTAAGACTAAAAACTGAGTTATTTAGTGTTAGATATTCAAAAGTGCTCTGAAAGGCAATTCAAGAGCTAAGTTATATGAGGAAAAAGAATCCTGCAGATGGACAGGACAGAATTAATAGAGTTGGGTTTGCGTGGGTTAGGAACAGAAGCTTGTTTCCAGGGCTTTCAGAGACACCACATATAGCCTGCAGGGAACTAACTGCAAGGTCAGGGATTCTCCTGTGTCTCCTTTAGAGTAACAGGAAAGCCTTGGACTAAATAATTTATTGCTGAAATCTTTGTTTTAGAGGTGTATCTGTTTTCTTCCTTGCTTTGGGCCAATTTGATAGTTTTTCTCCACTTAAAATGGGTCCTTACTGAAAATTCAACCATTAATAATTAACGTAACATTTCTGCAAATTTTCATCCAAATATGACATTCTAAAACATATCACAGTCTGTTATTATAGTGCCTGCCAGCCATGATCAGTAGGAAAGCCTCAAAGAAGTCAGAGCGAGAGAAGGCTGAGGAGCAGTCATCTCTCGAGCTGGGACACAGCTCCAGGTGAGTGTGTGGGTGAGGGACCCCCGGAGGAGAAGAGACCCAGAACAGGCCATTACACAAAGAGGGCCTGAGTTCGAACTGCCCCCCTGCCAGCCCCATCAACACACACTGAAGAGACAGAACTCCTGTAGGATAACATCGGTATGTCCTGTCTCCCTTGACAGAGGGAGCTTGGATTTACTGGGTTGCACCCATTCACAGTGCTCCCAAGGCACTCCCATTCCTGTGTTTATCTGTGACCACCCATCAGAGGCGGCGAGAGAGAGCAACGGGGCTTCATATTTATATACACAGACTCTCACTTGCCACTGCTTCTCAAAGGGATGTCACAGCATGTCAATCCTGCATCGCAACCTTTGGAAGCTATTTACTCTTGAAACATTTTAATCTTTACCATTCACTCTAGAATGGGTAAGTTGAGGTTTCTTAGAGTGAATGCATAAATATTCCCAAATAAACCACAGTAAGTTTCAAATGGGTCCAGTAGTGAATAAATTATCTAGCAGAGTCAGGAAAAGATCTAAACGTGCTTGACTGTTCAATAATTCCTGTTTGTTCACCTGTATACAGGGAGGAGAAATTTCAAATAATTCTTAACAATATACATATGACCTAATTGAAAAAAAACTGTAGCGGCTGGAGCAATAGCACAGCAGGTAGAGGGTTTGCCTTGCACACGGTCAACCCGGGTTCGATTCCCAGCATCCCATATGGTCCTTTGAGCACTGCCAGGGGTAATTCCTGAGGGCAGAGCCAGGAGTAACCCGTGTGCATAGCCAGGTGTGACCCAAAAATAGAAAAACAAACAAACAAACAAACAAAAAAAACAAAAAAAGAAAAAAACTGTAGATAACTAATTTTTAACACTTCATTCATTATTTCTCATCACAGACTTTTGTTTGAAAAGGTGATACTAAGAGGATTCTATGTAATCCACACTAGACAAAATGGCAATTATAACTCCCTTGGTAATTTGTCACCATTAAGTTCTGCTTGCCAATATTTAAAAAGAAGGTCTAAAAAATAAGGTCTCTGATCTAATCTAGGGTAGAACAAAGCATAACAGAAAACTGAGAATGAGAAAAAAATCTACTTCCAAGGGAAAAGAGATTTTGCTTTTTATTTTTAGTCACACACCATAATTAAGCATGCTTAAGAGGGGCGGGGGCCTTGCATGCTCCTGAGAAGACTGAGGGTGGAGAGGAGGGAAAGACCCCCTATGCTTCCTGAGCACCGAGTGCCTGGGCGCTGCCATGAAGGACCCAAACTCACCCCTGCAAACACAGACCAAACATGATTTCAGACAGTCAAAAATAAAATAAAAAGTAGACACCTAACTAGAAAAATGTTTTCAAATCAATTTTATTTAACTGTGGGGAAATGATTATGAATTAGTTATCAGATGGCACAGGATATTTTGAAAATTTAAATTAGGAGTGCTAATGAGTGGGAATTATTTAGGATGCCATCGTGATTATTTGAGTTTTTTTTTTTTTAGATTTAATAAAGTATGACATGTCTGGGATGTGCTTCAAATATTTCAGCAATGTTGGGCCAGAGCGATCCTATAGCGGGAGGGCACTTGCCCTGCACTCACAGACCCAGGCTCAATCCCAGACATCTCCTGTGGGTCCCTTGAGCACTGCCAGGAGAGATTATTGAGTGCAGAGCCAGGAGGAACCCCTGCACATCACTGGGTGTGGCCCAAACCACCCCCCTCAAAAAAAATCTCAGCAATGAAAGAAAAAATAGATGAAGCAAATGTAGGAAAAGGGAAGAAACACTAATCCCGAGTGAGGCATATATTTCATTTTGAAAGTTTCAGTACAAAGTTAACGTGTAATCAGAATATTAGATAAAGCCAAATACAAAATTAAAAAGAACTGGGAGATGGAACTGCAGAGGAAATCCGACTGAGTCAAAGCTAAGGACGAGCAAACCCTCACCTTCCTTTGGGCTCGCGGCGGCAGGAAGAGAATCCCAATCAAGGGTCCACGTGGGGCAAGGGTGCGGAGCAAACATCACTTCAATGCCTTTTCCCTAGAAAAGGAAGTAAGTTCTTTCCGAATCACTAAATTCATAAAATCCCGCAATGTTCTAGAAGTCCACATGTCTATTTCCAAAACTAGGAAGGCACAGACACAGTAATAGGCAGATGGACGTCAAACCCCTGAGTCACATTAGAAACACGGCATGTGGAGCCAGAGAGTGTCCAGAGGCCCAGGTCCTTGCCTGGAATGCGGCCAAATCGAGTGTGATCCCAGCACCACCCAGCAATTCCCTGACCACTGAGCACAGAGACAGGAGGAAGCCTGAAGCACTGCTGGACATGGCCCCAAACCGAAAGACGAAACACCCAAATGTGATAGGTGGCATCTTTTGACAGAAGTTACTTGATTATTTTTCATACTGAAATAGTCCAAAGTAATGCTATTCTTATCTGAAATTGCATAGAAAGGAAAAAAGCTCCCTAGAATTACACTGAGCATCAAAGAGGAAAGTCTCTTGAGGATAAACATTTTATCACAAACAATCCACTGTAGCACTGTAGCACTGTCTTCCTGTTGTTCATCGATTTGCTCGAGCGTGCACCAGTAACGTCTCCATTGTGAGACTTGTTACTGTTTTTGGCATATCGAATATGCCACGGGGAGGAGCTTGCCAGGCTCTGCCGTGTGGGCGGGATACTCTGGGTAGCTTGCCAGGCTCTCCAAGAGGGACGGAGGAATCAAATCTGGGTCGGCCACGTGCTAGGCAAACGCCCTAAATCCACATGAAGATAAATCCTTACTTACTCTGCACACACCCTTCGAGCTCTGTCTTTCGGGGATGTTGGGGGTGGGGGGGTGCTGAGAGCTACTGCTGATGCTCAGCATCTCCTACTCCGGCTGTTTTCGGGGGTCACTCAATGGACCATGCAGTGCCAGGTACCAAACTGGATTCAGTCACATGCAAAGCAAGTGCATTCCCCAGACACCCCTCGAGCCCTCACGGTCCATCTCTGCATAGGAAAAGGAGCTCGGCCTACGAGGTTCTACTCAAAAAGTCTCAACCCGAATGATCATTCACACCAATTTTTTGGGAGGAGGGTGGTGCTGGTGGCGGGTCCTCCAGGGATACATCCCAAAGTGCCCAGAGTCAAGCTCAGTAGCTTTCTAGCCAGCCCTTCTGCTTAGAACACTTCTTCCAAATCTTTAATTGATTCAGGTTTAATGAATTTATTCATCCATGTCTTGACCTCAGAAAAGGAATGTATATTCTGATTACCGTACAGAAAAATCACCCCAACTGCTGCCACCTCCCACCCACCTGCTCACATTATTACTGACATAGAACTTATTCCCTGATACATTACCTACTCATGTTCCCTCTTTATTTTCCCTCCACCAGAATTTAAGATCCCTAAAGGAAACCTAAATGTACTTTTTATATAACCAACATTCAGAAAATTCCTGATGATCAATAGGCACATGCACTTATTGATATTTTACTAACTGAATAAATTTAAAGCCACTAGAGCTAAGGAAAATTTTGGAGGCAAGATTGTATGGAAAGAAACAAAAGGCAGGGAAAAAAAAGTGAGACGTATTTCTCTAAGAAACTCTCCTATTTTATAACTCCACTAAGGACCAATTTCTTCATGTAATTGACACAACCTGACAAGAAATGAGACATATGGCTCACATAATATATTAATTTGATAAAAACAGTCTTTTAAAATGTTAATGGAAAAATTCACTAGTAAGTAACGAAAACAATGCCCTGCTGAACATTTATTTCATCTTTTACTATTATCAAGCTAGAATTAAATTAAAATGGAAAGTTTACCCTTTTTAAGATCTGAACTTTACATCTTTAAAAAACTGAGTGGGGGGGACCTGGAGCGATAGAACAGTGGGTAGGGCATTTGCCTTGCACACGGCTGACCCAGGTTCGATTGCCAGCATCCCATATGGTCCCCTGAGCACTGCCAGGAGTAATTCCTGAGTGCAGAGCCAGGAGTAACCCCTGTGCATTGCCATGTGTGACCCAAAAAAGAAAAAAAAGAAAAACAACTGGGTGAGGGGGCTGGAGCTATAGTACAGCCGGTAGGGTGTTTGCCTTGCACACGGCCAACCACCCAGGTTTGATTCCCAGCATCCCATATGGTCCCCGGAGCACTGCCAAGAATAATCCCTGTGCATCACTGGGTGTGACGCCCTCCCCCACCCCCACCGAAAGGGCCGCATCTACTCATTATAATAAGCTTCAAAACTTTAAAAAAAATAAATTAAAAAAAATGAAAAACTGGGTAAAATGTCCCAGTCATCTTTTGTCCAACCTAAGAGTTACACTAAGATGTCACAGAAAAACCTAAATGTCTGTTATTCTAAAGTTCTGAGCTGTGAAGTGACTTACTGAAGACCAGTGCTAGTGAGCTAAATGCTGGGAATCCAGGCCATCAGATGCTGTCCCCTGGGAGCTCCCCAGTCCCAGCCGCTGAGAAATCCCTGTGTCCTCTTGAAGGACTCGGTTTCAGGGTTAAGACTGCTTTGCCAAGTACCACGTGGGCAAGGTGCTCCTGAGCACTGTATGGTATTGCTCCAATAACAAAAAAAAAAACACAACAACAAAAGTTGACAAATGCCTACAAGCTCAGTAGATTGCAATGTCCCATGAAAAATCTGAACCCAAATTGTGCATATTCACATACCCTTAACTTTGTCATCGTTGGTCTCGGCCCGCCTATAAACGGAGGCTCACTTTGCTCCTCTGGTTCCTCTGCACCCAGGGTCTCCACAAACTCGGGGTGCTGCTCCTGTGCAGAGGACAGCGACTCCGGCAAGTGGAGGAAATGGATCCCGCACTGAGAAGCTGCTGTTTTCACGCGTGGCACCTCCTGAACCCGCTGGTACCATGCAGTCAGCAGTGGGAATTCCACCAGCTTCTCAGAAAGCTTCTTACAGATGGTGACCTAGGCGGGAGCAACACACATTAGGGATAACAGGACACATGACTATATAGTTTTTGCTTGCCGACAAATAGCAACAGTGAGATGACTTCACACTCTGTATAACTCGTGTATTTTAAGTGCAGGTTCAAACAGTAAGCCTGGCCCCCCGGCCCTGAAGAACAAGCACTACCTGCACCTGCTAAACTGGCTTGGACAAAGGATGGTAACACTATCATTCTCTGCAGTATCTGCTTTGCAGAGACATAAATTTGTCATAACATTTTTTGGAAAGAACAAGCTGAAACACACAAATCTCTTCGTTCCTTCTTGCCTCTGGCTTCTGAGCAGATAGCAGAGCTTGAAGACCTATTATAATTTATGCTTTCGGGGGAAGCACTCAAAAAAACTATCAGTGTTCATTCAGGATGCCAAACGATCTGATGCTTTTGAGTTCTCATCGTATCTGTCCTGAAAACCATGTCCTGATTCTTAGAAAACAGGACGGGGTCAGGACAGAGGGAAAGCTCAATAGCCAAGCGCAGGCTTGCGGGCTTGCAGTTCTCAGAGCACCCCGAGCACAAAGCTGGGAGTAGCCCCAAGCGCCACCAGGTGTGGACTCAAAATCAAAGAAAGAAGAAACAGATGTTCTAACCTTTCTACCCATCAAAAGTTTCTCCAGCGAAGGGACAGGGGTGTAGATCTGAGCACTGCTCCAACCTTCCCTGCACTCTGGAATGCAATCAAGTCTCTCCCTTTTGGGAAAAGCTTGGCGGGACGGTATTGGGGGTTCTGGGGTGCTCATGGGGCAGCGGACCTATCTTCAGCATCAACCTTGGGTAGCTGGCCCCAGAATGCAGCTCCCGAGCCTGTAGACCACCGTGAAGAGTGCCTCTGTAACTGTTCAATCTGCTCCTGGCTCAGCTGTGTACAGCATGGCTGACAGTTCTGGATCAATTCTCCTTTCCCAGAATTTCATGTAAGTGGAATCACAAACATGATTTGTGATTTGCTACACTCAAAATGGTATTTTTTTATCATTATGCAGCGCTTAAATTAAGATTTTTACTCTTCAAACTAGAAAGAGCTAAACTATTGCTCCTGATATAGATGCAGTTTTGCTTCTCATGATCAGACGACTTCTCCTGGCATTCCCACCAAACCTCAGTTTTGTTTTGTTTTTTAACCTCAGTTTTTTTTAAAAGACTGTTCTTGCTTATCAAGACACTGAATGCTGTTTCCATGGGAACACTTATAATGTTACAACCATTTTATGACATGATTATGAACAGATAAGTAAAAAGGTCAAACCACAGATAATCTCTACAAAAATATCTAGCAATAATTATAGCCTAAGGAGCTCGAAAAAAACAGAAAAATTAACACACATGAACAATTTATTTTAACTGGACTTTCAAGGTTAAGTAAGCACAAGAAATTGTTTATATGGACAGGCTTTATATCTAACTTCTTATATGCGGAAATATTCAAAATACTACCATACAAATACACTCTTTGAATCAATAAGCAAGAAAATGTCATCAAAGAACATCCCCCAGTGAGCATTTTTCAAACTACTGTATATGATCAAAGGCTATAAAATTAATGTTTTTTAATGAAAAAAAAACCTACTAAAATATTAAGCATGTACATAACCTGCTATAGAAAACAAAATATTTCACAATGTCTTTTCAGCAATTCTGATTGTTTGGGGGGAAATTCTAAACAATAATGGTACATCTCTTGTTGAAATAATGAATGTAATCAATGTAGAGAAGAGTTAAGTAGAAATCATCTGCCTCACAGACATTTGGAGGGGTGGGGGGGTATACTGGGGTTCTTGGTGGTGAAAAATGAGTACTGGTGAAGGGAAAGGTGTTTGATCATTGTATGACCAAGACTTAAACCTGAAAGCTTAGTAACTTTTCCCACAAGTGATTCAAAAAATAAATATAAAAAGAAAAAAATAAATAAAAAAATTAAGGTGGAGTTCATGCCCAATTCAATCAGCTAATCAGTGGCTGAATAAATAGCAGTACTCCTACAAAAAAAATATTAAGCATGTAGAGAAAGATGGTTTACTTTTTAAGTACTTATAAACATACTAT